GACGTTCAACGAGAGTCGAACGCGTTGGCTTAATTGAATTTCCGTTGGTTGGTCAAAAAAAGTTGGTCCTGCCACGCAGGTCTTTGTTTCTTTACAAGTTCCTCAGAGAGACCTGAACGGAAAAGGGTAGGCTTACTTCTATTTCCTAACTAAACAGAAGTTGGATTTCAGGGTTCCAACCTACTTGGAAGGGGTTGATGGGAAGCTTTGTGAAGCTTTCCCATTGGTTTGGGAAGCACTAATCGTCAAATTATCGTCTGTTTCTTCTAGGGGAACCTAGCGCAGAGGATTTTTTCGGACTCCCTTGATCCTCAGGAGAAATCTCCTTGTATATACTATTCACCACATAGACGGATCAGTAGCTTTTTTGTTTCTCAGAGAGGATTAGTTGAGCGGCCTGAATTCCGTTTCGTTTCCAGAGGAAGAAATCATGTGTTCACTGTTTGCCTTTTTCCTTTTCACCAGGGCAAAATTGTGCCTAAATGATCTAAATCTGCTGTTCTCACCGTGGAAAACTCGTGCAAAAGAAGATTGAATTATAATGGCCGATTGCTTGAGGCGAATACTTTGACCTACAACACTACCTTACACATAATTTTGATTATATCGGTATTATAAGACTAGTCATAACCCCGCAACATTTATAGCTAAAATTGAAGTTGGAACAGACCCGGTTTTCTAACATTGCAACATACAGCACCTTCCTCGGTCTACAGCCTTCTGAACTAATGATGAAGCTCCATTCCCAAACACCAACAAGTTCTTTGTTCAACTCTGGAATGGTCGGTAGTCACGCAATCGTTATGACCGTCACATAATGATATGACGCCATGGCGTCACACCACCCTAACCAACGTGTAGCAAGGGACGAGTTACAAACCACTTTCAGAATGTAAAAGAACGCAGTATGTGCGCAGTCTCCAAGTTCTTCAAAATACTGGAATACATGGGACTGGTTAAAGATGCCTGGGGAAGTTTCAAGTGGTTCAAGCAACACATTCGTCGAATTAGGAGACTACATGTCAAAAATATAAAACCATACCGAAACATCAAGGAACTGTCCCGTCGCCTGCTCAATACAAAAGGAGACTATGCGCGCTTTGAGCTGAAGGAGAGCCAAGGTTACAAAATAAGTAAGGAACTAAGCTGAAAGGTGATTAGTTTCTTTCTTGACGTGTGGTTTCACCTCGAACGAGGGGGAAGGTAGTTAGCGGAACTAAGACTATCTTCATTTATTCATAATCAGTCCATTCCTTCGAGCCAAAACAGCTGGTCGTTGTAAACCCTCTAAGGCAGCAAAGACACACTCAAAGAGCAGCCAAGATCATACGAAGCTTTCGAAGATTGCTCAAAAGATGGTAGTGTTAAAGGAAAGTCTTACGAGAGGCTAAGGTCACTACAGACAAATTCAGGAAATATGTCACAACTTTGAATGGGGAAATTTGGAGATGGAAACTTTCCCTCTTCCATGAGCTCTATCAGCACAGAACTGGAATTGCTTTGAAGAAAAACGGCAATAGGCGCCATGCAGGGAAACAGGCCGCAGGAACCCAGCCAACACACAAGTTCGAAAAACTGCATCCAGTTATGTATTGGTTTCAAAGTGCGAACCAACCTAAGTCCTCGTATCCCAGTCACGATCAGACAATGCTGTAAAGAATGAATAGCAGCCTCAGAATGATAAGGTACGGTGGCAAATAACTTCTCTCATGTAACAAGTTTGCGAAACTAGAGGCGTAATCAACTAAACCCGCCAGCCCGTAATACCATACTAACTCCATTCAGTCGGCCATTTACTAACAAGGGAACGATACTAGGTCGCAGGGGCCATTCAAAATGAGACGTATACCGACTGAGTGTTTTCAAACGCTGATTTCAAATCTGGATTCCAAATCTAGAAAACGATTCTGAGAGCAGAGTTATGAACCCTTTTTTCCCGGTTCTGCTTTATACGCGACCCGAGCAGTTCCGAACACGCAGCGATGACCGAGTCGGGAGGCTTACGATGAAATGGAAGGCGCGATGCGGAGCCTCGAATCCTTCATGCATTTGCTTGTTTTGTTTTTTTGAAAAAAAGTGTCCTAAACGCTTGCAAACCACATTTATGCATCATATAGACCGCTTACAGCCCTCTTCATATTTATGGAGCACCAGAAAGATAATACAGGTAAAATTTTTTTGTCGCCTCCACAGAACGTATGGTGCACATAGAACCCCACCGCTCCAGGCCTTAAGATGTGGTCACGAAATCCAGCAGCTCTTTGCAATTTCGACCGAGGGACCGGACAAAAAGTCAGACTAGAGCGCTTTTGAATGAAGTAGTGCCTTCTCTAGAAGGTGATAAAAGTGAGCTGGCACAATGCAGATGGCATTTTTATAGAAAAGTGCTGTCGGAATTATAGATGAGCATTTTATGAACAGATATGGTTATCCAACACAGTATTTGAAACAGGTAAGCTTCTCAAAATGAGAGCAACGTTTGAAAAACAGTTCATCACACCCGTCATTCTTACAGTTCCCGTCTAGATGATATGAGAAACAGTACTGAACAGGAGTTTCGAATTTTCCAGGGTCTGTATCCAGGTGCCCTGCTGCAAACCATGAATGAAAAAGGAACATTTTGAATCTAGGCGCACAAAAAAAGTATACTGGGGAAATAAGCTGACTTATGGAGTTGCGGTTGTTAACGTGGAAGTGCAGATCGTGAGGAATTACGAAAGAGGCAATACGCTCATACATGGTTGTGAATGGTAACAAAAATATTTTTTCAGCATTTTCACCAGTTATCATGAAGCGAATCAGGGATTCGCTTCATGATAATTAGTTCACTAAACGAGCTCCATGAGTCGACGATCAGTAGGGTTGAAAGCAAAACTGTTGATCCAACGCATGATCTAACTCAATCCTGCATAGGTTCTTTGCTCATAATGTGGGTTGTGCTGACCCTGATCTCCAGTTCGAAGCGGGAAACAAATGCGATACGACCACTTTTGGGCAGAACATATTGCTGGTAATATGTTGGTAGCACTTTGATCGATTGAATGTTTTGATCGTGAGTCTCTGTCGAATCCTCCAGATCTTGCTCAAAATTTCGCAATTCTATTTTGAGCAAAGCTTTCGCAGCTCTTCCCTGTAGGACTTATAGTGACCGTATTCGTTCCGTGCATTAGCATTTCTGTTGCTACGTGAATATGGAGGAGGGGTAAGTGGTCTAGTGATGCGTAAATGTATTTTGCAAGCGTTTAGGAAACTTTATAAAAAAGCAGAACATCGAGGATTCGTATCTCCGTTCCGCGCCTACCACTCCATCTCAAACTCGGCCATCGCTGCATGCCCGGAACTGCTCGGGTCGCGTTTAAAAGCAGCACCCTGGGAAAAAAAGGCTCATCAGTTTGTCCCCACAATCGTTTTGCAGATTTCGAACCCAGATTTGAAATCAGCGTTTGTAAACACTTACGTCGGTATACATCTCACCTGGAATGGCTGGCCACTGCGACCTAGTATCCTTCCCTTGTAAGATGTGTGATGGTAATAATGCCTTTAGCCTCTACGAGGCCCTCATTTTTACGCTCTACTGAAGGCTTAAAATTATCTTTCATGCTAATTGCTTTCGTGGATCAGCCTTACAGATTCACCTCAGTGGCGTCCATGGACCGCAATAAGCCGTGTCGATCAGATCGGCCCTTTAACTTCCATGGAGTGGCTTGCCATAGAGCTTACTTTTATATTTGTCATCCTACCTGCTCTAACTCATTGTGACAGCTGTGAGACATTACGACCCTCTTGACAGGATCACTTTTCATTTCGAGACTGAATAGCTATAGTATCCTTCGTGATCAGATGCCTTCCTGCAATCAAAAACACTTCATGAGTTCATGCTTTTGTGGCATTAGTGGGTCTTACCTTACGCGAACTTTTCACGATGATCAGTACAAAGCTTTGCTGCGAGAAAATTGTTTTCTCGAGAACATTGAAAGATTAAGCTGTTTCGCCCATCGTCCTAACTTCTGAACATGTAAGTAGAGATGTCATAAGTTTCTAAATGGGTAAATCTACTACAGACCTCATATCGTAGACCGGTGTTGATTGCTGACACAGCTGCCTCCACATTCCCTTTGTACGACCGCTCACTCCCACGAAGAAGGGAAACTTCCTGTCCCTCCCACAGCTTCATTTTAGACATACTGCACTGGTGGCAAATGAATTTCACGACAGCAGCCTTTCCAACCGCCTTCAAACGAGCTCCAGAGAGCCTATGCCCACATCGAGGACAGAAATTAAACAGTTGCAGAAGCATTTCTCCTTTGATAGAGAAGTATTGGCTCAAAACAGTTGGGTCCGTCTTCTCCACAGTAGTTGTTAAGCAATTCACAGGTCCACCATTAGAAGCACAACCATTAACGCTCTAAAACAATTGCCCATCGAAGAATGAACGAAGAGATTGACTTACTTAATAACTTTACAGATTTTACCTTTTCAGGAAGAGAGCTGCTTCTTGCTTGCTGGTCCTTCTCTAGCACACGGCTCTCGTTAGGCCTGCTGTGGTCTGATCTTTCCGACACGCTTACAGCTTTTCCGCCTCCGTTCTTCCCAGATGAATCCCTTCCGTTGCAAGTCTGAATTTCATGTAGGAATTATTAGGCACCCACACGTCTGCACTTATCATTTTACCTTCTCTTCTGTTACTGGCCAAAATCTTGTCGCATAATAACGATTAAGAGCGTCGTTGAGAAATTTACTGACATCACGGCATGTTAGGACAGCGGCCCCCTAAACTTGTAGTAAGCCCTATTTTCGAGGTACAGTGAGAACGTAGATACAAAATTCAAATAATGCATGCGTAAATCATACTCCTGCCATCTTGTTAAGCTCGTCTATAGTATCGCGGGGTATATCCCCGTTTGCCACGTACGCAGTAGGTCTACGGGCGTTCGGATCTTCAAAGTGGCGAATTCCACTCCCTACTCGTACCATTTCAGCCATCAAAAACTGAGCCTGTTA